ATCGGTACCACCTTCACCACCGTCTCCAGCAGCAGAATTGTTGATCTATCATCCTCTAAGCGAAGAACAAGGAGCTCATGTGAGATTATATTTGAGAAATGTCTGGCAGTGTCTGTCGACGCCATCACCTTTATTATTATCGCTCGCCGCAGGAATTATGGGAGGTACATTAGGAGCATGGACGGGATTGTTGGCGACAATACTGGCACCAATGAACTATACAGAAAAACAGGCGGGTATGTTTGCACATAGTTACATTCATTGCCCTAATTTTATAATATAAAATATCCATCTTAAAGACTAGTATCATATATTTCTAATAGTAAGAAGCCGAAGAAACTTTCCCATTTTTGAGGAACAGCGTCTAATTATGTTGAAGCACGATGTGTTTTCATGTAATATATGTCAGAATTTGAGAGATTAATAAGTTCAATATAACAAAGCTATATTTGTTTTTAAGAGTCATTGCCTGAGATGCATCGCAGAGTCTCCATCAATAACTGATCGGAAAAAATGTGTAAAAATACGTCCTTTATCCTTCAAAGGGGATATCGGAGTTTCATTGAAAAATTTCTCATTAAAAAAACTTTCATTAGAAGGAAGTTCATTAAAATTTTTGATGAACTTTTAGTGCCATCAAAAACTCTAGGTCACAGCCATTTTGCATCAGACATTTTAATAAAAGTTCCGGTACTTCCATTACTTCCATTAAAAAAGCTCTTTAATGAAAGTTTGTTTTAATGAATGTCACCCAATCCCTTCAAAGACGCTTCACTTTTAGAAGGACCAAATAGTGTAGAACATGGCTTTAATATGACTCAACTTATTGTATATGAGTTGAGTCCAGCTGAGAAATCTGGTGGACATATTTGGCTCAAAAAGTCCGAGTAATCATTCCATGATATTCTCTATGCAAAATTACCTACAAATCCGAAGTTTTAGTCAACCATCTCTTTTTATAAGCCGTTATGAAGTCTTTTCCAAAAAGCCCATCACAATGTTTGAAAAATCTGATGACTTTTAGTATATCGGTCATAACTCTGAAACCTTTTGTCCAATATTTTCATGCAACACACAGCTCGAAGCAGGAAAAAAACTGAATAAAAAATAATATTGAAAATGAATATAGTAACAAAATCTGTTGCAGTTAGTTTCGTTGTTTTCATATGTGAAGTAAATTGATAGCAAATATCATTGAGTATTTTCTGCCTCGCATATGGGGATAGATGTGTGAACATGCGTCAGTATATTTGTATCATTAGACAGAACTCGACGAGTATTTTCGAGGGGTATAGAAGATGTTTAGCCGTTTTCAATACAAAGAAAAACGATACATCGACATTTACGCTATGACTGATCCTCGGCCACTATTCCGCAAATTTTGACGGTATATTTTGAAAAAAACTAACGAAACAATTGGTGTTACTGGTCAGTCTAATCGTATTACAATTTCAATACAGCGCTATCTTGAACTAATATAGACAGTAGAATATTGTCAAAATCGAGTTTAAAAATTATTTCCATGGGAAATGACCCGTCAATACAGTGATATTGTGCACAGACGCGCGACCTATAACGAAATATCTAGAGGCCCTAATAACAAATACATCTTTGAAAAGTTTTAAAACATCATGATCATGAATCAGCACTATGTGAGATCTTACCTCAATGACTCTCAAAATGTGATAAACTTTCGTTACAACTTAAAGATCGAAGTAGCCCTGGGCCTCAAGAAGGATGCAGTGCTACGATCTGATATTTTGTATATTTAGAGTACATAATAGATAGTTATTGTCCAAACTAATTTCAGTTCATTTGCTTATATCATTGTTGAGATACGGACATTTCAAACTTTAGTTTTTCACCAAGGTTATTGTTCAGACTATGCAAGGTATTAATAAAGTAAGAATGCAATTGATATCTTGCGTAGTTTGAACAGTAGCTGTGGTGGAAAAATTAAAGTTTAAAACTTCCGTATCTCAACAATGGTATAAGCAAATGAACTGAAATTAGTTTAGACAATAACCATTTATCATGTACTATAAATATACAAAATATCAAATCGTAGCACTGCATCCTCCTTGAGGTATGGGAATGTTCGAGGACTTAGTTTTTACGGTAAAAGTCTTCTGTAGCTCTGGCATCAAATATAATCCAAGAAAAAGCTTGACCCAACAGAGAGTAACGGGTGTGCCATAATAAACTGGACTAAATGTTACTGCATTTTTTTCGTACTTCCTCTTCAAATTAAAAGTTCCTTTACATACCAAAAGATAGAGAATTTCAAGTTCTACAAAACCTACTATTTGAATCTTTGAGAGCATTTTTCTCGTTTGAGCACCATTCAAAATATTGAAGAGTACTGAGTTGTCGAACTGCGACGTACTTTTGCCGCCTCATTTTTTTAGATTTTTAGCACATTGTCTGAGGTTCCATAGTTAATTTTTCTAGGTAGAAAGATAGAAAATTTTGCGCTCTATCGATCTCACTCATTTACAAGCTTATACAATGTTTCTACTACGTCAGCTTATCTCATAATTAGTTCTCAACCGGCTTTTCAATTTTTTCAAACTAAACTAACTTTTTAATTACTGGTTTCAATTGAGAAACTTTGTTTATATATCAAAAGACGCAGAATTTAATTCTATGTAAGATAATAAGACTAAAGCCCTGGATTCAGAACGTTTTACTGCTTTTATAGTCCAAAAACTAAATTCTGTGAAAAATAGGTTCAAAAGTTAGGTTTTTTTAGATTTATCAGCTTTTTGCACAGAGAAATTTTCCTAGAAGATTTAACTGCAAAATTTCGAAAAATATGTGAGAAGATGCAGAATTTGCCGGTGAATCTTCTGATGTTTTCAAAAATCTTATGGAATCTATTTTTGGATCAAAGCAAATGTTTTTCTATTTTCAGTGTGTCGCAGTTCGACAATTCAGTACTCTTCAATATTTTGAATGGTGCTCAAACGAGAAAAATGCTCTCAGAGATTCAAATAGTAGGTTTTGTAGAACTTGAAATTCTCTATCTTTTGGTATGTAAAAGAGCTTTTAATTTGAAGAGGAAGTACGAAAAAAATGCAGTAACATTTAGTCCAGTTTATTATGGCACACCCGTTACTTTAAGAATATTTTAATGTTTATAAATTGTATCGACTGGAATAAGAAATGTCTGTAACAGAAGGACTTGTATGACTAATTGGCTAACGTGGATTAAAGGAACGAAGGCGAACTTTTATCATAGTTTACAGCAACGAAAGTTTTCCGAATTTAGAAGCGAAGGCTTTATGGTTGTTTCGTAATATTGCAAATTTTCTGTTTCTAGGTTGGGTGGGGTTTGGTAATTATTTGGCTACTATGGCAGGTAGTTCATTAATGGGTGTTATTGCTGATCGAAGACGTTTTCAACATAAATTAAAATTTTTAATTCTTTTCTCGTTAATATGTTGTTTCCTCTGCATTGCATGGTTTCAGTTGGGTGTTCGAACCTTATTTTACGAAGAACCTGTATTAAAACTGTCTATACCAACCATCGCACTATCAATATCATTGACGGGTCTATTCTTTGGAGCTGCCTCACCTTTGATGTATGAATGTTTAGCAGAAATTATGTATCCTCTGCCGGAGTCCTTATCCGCTTCGATCCTGGTTCAGTGGAGTAATACAACCGCTTTGATACTGATATCTATTGCTCCTAGACGGTATAAGTTAATGAATTTGTTAGTGTTAATCATGGCGGGCATGGCTATCGTCATGGTATGCTTTGTTAAGGTCACGTATAAACGTAAAGATGAAGACGAACGAAAAATACTAGACCAAAAACAATTAGGTGTTGACAGTCGAACAGGTTCATTATAAAAATGGATTTATTCCCTAGACTAAAGCTTAAAGTTTATTCAAAAAAACTGTCCATCAATCATTCGGCGTCCGCCTAATATAAGACAAACAGGTTTTGAACGAGAATGATGTACCACTCCAAAATTTCGAGAGTAGGAATTTTCTACTACGGACTTAATTATTACGTGACTAATTAATAAATCCTTTTTAATTAGTCATTAATGACTAATTAATTATTAAGCCCCAGATAATAATTACTAAGCATCACAAGTTAATCAGTTAATTAATTCCAGTCAGTCGGTGACTAATTATAAACAATAAATAAACAAACTAACTGCCACTCGTGCGATAAATACATATCCTACTTTAGACTCAACCTGGACTGTTGACATATCTATTCCGCTTTCTCTGTACCATGAGACCTTTATAAGCCTAACCACAAGCAATCGTTCAAGATGAGATTCGGACCTAGGTACCGCGAATCAAAGGCTGATGGTTGCTATTAGGCTATTTGGTCGAAATTTATTCGACTCTATTCTGCTTCTCTCTATTAAGTATTTCTTTCGATTCTACCAGAAATGATTCATCCTGTAAATCATAAACTGTATCTAGTACTTTAAATACTAGATGAAAAGTACATACTTATGGTTTGATCTTGGAAAATGATCACCTATCCTCTTACTAATCGTAGTTTTGACACAACAGGCAAAGACATTAAGTCAAAATTCTCTATTTTATAATGATTAAGTTTATAATGATGCATGTTTTGATCTTCAGAAGTGATTATGCATCCTCTTACTAGTCACGGTCGTTCATAGTGAAGACAGACAAATTAGCCACAATTCTCCGAAATTAAATATGCAAGTTTTGTGCGGTTTAAAGTTTTGATTTTTTCAGAAATGAATTCCGTAAGAGTCTCAAGTAACTGATAAGCTGACTGTAATAATTGTATCAAATTAAGTTTCATATTTCATTGAGATAGGTTAAGGTTTCCCTCACCCCATGGTCTATTGATTCGCAGTTGTTTCCTTGACTTTACGTCTAGAATCACACAAAATTACGGTTGAATCCTTTTTCTCAAAGCCTTTTTATGCATAGATACTCCGAAGCATTCTCTACACAGATCTGTTCTCGGATATATTCTAGCTACTTAGTTCACAAGACAATCAAACAGTGGTCTTAAACCGTTCGCCGCGTTAGACGTCAAGATACTGTACTAAAGAAAAATCCATTGAATTGCACTTAAGACCAGCAGTATTTCCTTCTTTTTCAACGATAAGATGCCGTGCAGCCAATTGAAAACAGAATGTATCAAGAAAACTAAAACTAGTATAATTTTTGTGACAATTTCCGCTATGTGCTGAATACCATTTGACAAATAAAGATGGTGACAGCGTTCGGTTTTTGGCTTCACAACATTCACATCTAAACGACAAAACTTAATAATCTAGCGCGTAACCCGAATCAACGTCAGTCACAAACAGTGCATCTATAGCAAAGAAAGTGAGACCACTGCACTGGAGTCTTTTAGAAACATCCCTTTATGAATACCATAGTTCGAGACATGTCCACATTTTTTCCACAAACAATCAAGCGGCATCACAATTTCCAAAATGTCGTCCAAAGCTTTCTTTATTTTCCTTCCATCAAGCTTTCTTCCTTTACGTATCTCATTTCTTATCGGCCCTAATTGCTGTTGAGCGAATTCATGCAAGCGAGAGTACATAGTCTAAAGTTGCGGAATAAAATTGGATCGATTATAAATACTCAAACACAAGGCAGACATGAATACATTTACGGATCCGTACCCGATCCCTATGATGATATAAAAACAACAATACGCGAGCAGGAGTAGGAGAAACAGAAGTTCACTGGTTAGAGCAGCATCTGCATAAAAACGCAGATTTGGCTGTTGAACAGATGTGGAGACAGATTCTACTACTGAGAAATTGGTTAATGTGATAACTTTTCAATTTTTGCAAAGATCAAGTTTGTGTGTTCGATTCTAGCTTCGTGCAAGGATTGATTTTGTGTTTTGATAGTTTAAGTTTCAGAATGGTACAATGGGAATTTATATTCTCGATTTCATTCTGGTTCAAGGTTAAAACTTAAACCAACATCACGAATAAACTCCATGCGGTCCTCTGGACAGACTTAAGGTTTATTAAAATCTTCTTGCAGATGATTCGTTTCGAATAATTGTGTTGAGGCATGATTTGCTTCTCGAGATCGGATTCTATTAACAATAAATAAAGAAGAAAACTGTCAAGTACAAAGCGAAAGCTAGTTTCACTACGTACTTCGTTAGAGATGAATCCAACCTTTGTGCTGCTCGCGGACAATGAACATTTGGAGTACTAGATGAATGAGTTTCAAAAGACTTTGACTACGAACGAGGGGCGGATCGGTAGCGGCCATCAGAAGCAGAAGAAAATCGTTTTCATTTTCTCCCGACAGAATCGAGTTCTCAGTTTTTTGAGAACGAATCTGAACGTGATCCACATTTAATTTAATTCCCTCACAATTTTTTATTCATAAAATATCTATACTGCTTAAAAGTGTACACGAAATGAGAACAACATTTCACATCCGATTAATACAGTGCATACTGCTTCGATCTAGCCACTGAGCGAATCGTCAAGATGAACGGGTTGTTGCTCTTCTTTTTCCTTCCTCTTTGCTGGACTACCAGACCAATCAGTATTCATTGATAATTGATCATTCTTCATAATTAATGTACATGGATATATTAAATTATTACCCGCTAATTTAGATCCAGGAAATATGACTGATTTGGGCATTAAGATGCTATATTCTCCAACAAAAACAGGCAATAATTTGAATATACATTGTTCTAATGTGTGACACTACAATAATAAAATAAGAAATTAAAAAACAAATGATTTTCAGCAACAAAAGTCTTTTTCATTAATAGCTTGGAAAATACACATTCCTCGGAAATTTGATTTTTCAAAAAATGAATTCATATTCGTTAGAAATTCGTTTCGGTACGCAATGGAAGCTAGTAAAGCGAATTCATGTATAAGATGTATTCGCGAATTTTCTATTATTTTCTGATTTATTCAGGTCGCCATGTAGATCAGGTAGTCCCTTTAATTTCGTCATCAATATTTATGCAATAGATACTGCGGTATGGAGGGAGGATGACATGAGAGTGAGTTACCAGACAATATTACCCATATGGTGATCTAGACTAGTCAGAGAAAATATAAACATTGTAAGTCTGTAGCTAGTATCAAGACATACCGAAATAGTAAAGAATAATTCAGTTCGACACGAATGCGAATTTTCTATGATCTTTCTTCATCTTACCTGGATTCTAGCTTTTGAATTGATTCTGACATGGTTATCTATTGTAATCAAATGGTAATCTTCTAAATTATTAAAATCTGCAATAATAACATCATTACCATTAATTTTTGTACCTAAACTACGAAATAAATAGAGTAACCATTGTGTTCCTCCTAATAGAGAACCAATTACAAAAAAATAATCTATTGACATTAATAAAAAGATAAAATGATGCCAACGTGTTGTATTTTCATATGAATATGTTCCAATTTGCCACATATCAGCGTTTGATAAACGATAAAGTAAACAAAATACAATTGAATAAATAATCATAAAGATTAGAAATGATAGAAAGATATTGTTAAAAATATTTATACAAAATAATCCACATATAACAAATACAAACTTAGCAAGAAATTGTTTAATTAATATTTCACCAAATTCTGTTATAAAATTTCCCATCTGCATATTCTGTTGTTTAATTGATGGAAATATAAATGGCATTTTAGATGCTGGTATACCTAATAGAATATCATTTTCATTACATATTGTTTCTGATGTATAACGTGTCATACTTCCAACAATTACTTGAGATGGAATAATTGAACCAGCATGAATTACACAATCATTTCCTATTGTAACTCCTGTACTAATTCTAATTTGATCAATAATACAATGACCATTATGTTTAACTTCATTATGAACTAGCATAGCTCCACTAAACAATGCACAACTATCTTCAATTGTTAATAAATTTGATGGATAATTTAAAAATGAATCATATGGTCCAATTTTTGTATTATTTCCTTTTATATTAGAACCTAACCATCGAAGAAGAATAGGAAACCAACAATGATAACCACCTAAAATTGTAAATGAATAGTCAAAACTTGACACAATTAATCGTCTTAACCATATTTTATGTATATAATACCATGAATTTAAAGTATAATATCCGGGTTGAGTATTACCAATAATAAATTTTAATAAAAATAATGTAATAAATAGACATAAAAATGACCATAGTATCCAACATATTGGAATACTTATATAAAAATATGTCGAATAAAATAATTTAACATAAATAAAATAGATTATTACAATAGCAATACTATGCAAATATACAATGATTGTTACACATATTAATTGATAGAAACATTGTAAAAATGAACAAGTTAGATTATTTGAAAATAATTGTTCATTTTCATTATTCGATGATATAACAACATGACCAGTAATACTTGACATTGATTTAATTGAAATATTATCTTCTATGTAGACGCCATTATAAAGAACACTTTGAAAACCAATATTACAATTAGAACCAATTCTTATTGAATTTAATGAATATGTTGTATTTTGATAAGATAAACTATTTAGTAGAACATCAGTAGAAATAAATGTTGAATCTTTTATTTCTAATAGATCTGGTGCATCAATTAAAGTTGTATAAATATGAACATTTTTTCCT